AAATACTCGTTTTATATTTTTATGGCTAATTAACAAGAGAATTTGAAATTTTTTTTAGAGAAGTGTTTTTGTTGAACACTCACTGTAAAAGAGTGCCTTTAAAAATTCGATTAATCGATTATTTCTCAATGATTGATATTAGTTGCAATTATTATTTTTTGCTTGTGATTAATCATATGATTAATTAATGGATTATTTTGTTTTTTTTTTTGTCATCCCTATTTTGTACTAACACTTTCAAATTTTTAGTGAAGGTGAACGAATATTACCAAAATCTGTGAAAAACGCAGTTTCGAAAAAAGTGTCAGTTAGGGCCTTTGTGAATTAAGCTAACGACATGTTATTTTAAAGTTTGCCTAAAGCAATTAAACGTAAGAAAATACGTATTTATTTTCTTTTAGAACATTTGAAGTTGTAATAAATTATTTTAAACTTAAAAATCATCAAAATAAATTTCATTTTGTACATAAATTGATTACAGGTGACTTTGATCAGCTGATTTTCTCAGAATCAATTGTCACTTTGCGCTCTCAGTTTCCTCTTCTTTACAAGTTTTTTGCGTACTTGAATGCCAAATCCTGATAATTTGTGATAAACTTTTGTGGGTTAACTTTCGGTATATATAGGTCCGGAAAAACAGAGGTGATTTTGAGGTCTTCCAGAGGACTTTCATATCTAAGATCTTTGGACCTAAATGCGTGGGCAACGCAATAAATGGAATGACGAACTGTACTAGCATTTTAATGCAATGAAAACGAATCGAATGCCGTCAACGTGTACAAGGGAAACATAAAATTTGACACTTCAACAACAAAAAAGTACGTGTAAATAAATATGAACCATATTCATTGTATTTTTGCTATGTTTTGCTATGTAATACCATCCCCAGCAGAACAGTTCTGTAAACATAATTTAATATGCAATTTCAATTTATTTATTTTTATTAAAAGCTACATGCGCATTATACTCGTATGTAATGCATATGTATGTACATTAGTGTGGTCCAAAAACGCATGTGAAAAGGTGAAGTCGGAATTTTAATGCTCTCACCCCCTAAGATTCTTCTATATCTATATCTAGTTTTCCATGTATTTTATATGGGAAAAAACAAGTTTTCATTGAAATGGTATGGAATTCTTCAAAATCAATATTTATCGTTCGGAAAACTTCGTTTCTCTTCAGGATACTTCCAATAACAATACCTAATTTTTCCTTAACCATTTTCTAGTATTAACTCTTTTTTATATGACTTCTAAAACCTCAAAAAATGCAATCGGCGGGGATCCATAAATATTGATTTTCAAGAATTCCATACCATTTCTATGAAAACTTGTTTTTTCCCATATAAAATACATGGAAAACTTTGAGCGCTTTGAGCGACCTATAAATATTTTTTCGGTACAGAACAATCATAGGGGGTGGGAGCATTACAATTCCGACTTTATTTTTTTTTGCACCACCCTAATGTACACACATACATATGTATGAAGCCATGAGAACAGAAGTGCCTAACCCTACATAAAATAGTCTCAAATGAGATACATTTTAAAATGGAAGTCGCTTATTCTTTAATTTTAAGGTACAGATCTACATAACGTATCATCAAAATAAGGAATAATCGACCTTCACTTTAAGATGTATTACAATGTGTATTACATTTGAAACTATTTTAAGAAGTTAAGTACAAGGAAAAAAATTGTGGGTTAGGCCACTTCTGCCTCTTATATATGTATGTAATACATATTATGTACATATGTATGTATGTACATACATGTATCTATGGAAATAGGCGCACAATGACAAGAATTCGCTGATTAACCCTAATAGGCCGAGTAAAATGTGTGTAAGTATATGCATACTTATGTATGTAAATACGTACATACAGTATATTAAAGTTTTATTGTAAGTTTATTTTATTCCGAAAGTTTTCTTTTACTAAAGTTCTTAATTTACATACCAAAAACGTAGTATATTAATATAATATTCGGTGGGTACATTGAAACGTATTCATTAATTAATTCTCTTATCGTTTTAAATAAATGTTTGTACCTATGTACTATTTGCTTTACATTTTTGCAGTTTGTGCGGCGGCATCTGTGTATATACCATTTCCTTATTTGAAAAACAAACTTGTAGTATGTACGACATTGTATGTATGTATGTACGTACATATGTGCATACATATACATATATGTATGTACCCAGTGGGAATTAGGAGCACGTAATAATACCTTATTAGCAACTTACTCTTCACCTGGAAGTCATTACCATTTCCCTGCCGAACGTCCCTTACTTTTACAAAGGCATGGCCGCCTTATGTAAGTAGGAATTTAGAATGTACATTTGCTATCAAACATACTTCTGAGTCGCTTTACAAAGTAAGTTACGTGTAATGCAGAGCAGTCGCTCGGAGTAGTTCGGTGCTTGGAAATAACTTCGGCTGCACGTTATTTTGCAACTGACAACGTAATGTGTCGCCGGAGGTGTTCATTTTGTGCTTTACTAGTAGATTACGCTGGTCATGATGACAATTTTGGTACTAAAAACTGAAAGAAAACATGGCTTACCTCGTAAGGTGCTTACCTATTTTCCCAGTGGGTATTTAGCTGCATATCAAAATCTCAACGACAATGTGTTATTTTCAATGAAAACAAACAAATACAAATTTCACTTACTATCGAAACAAAAAGTTGATAAGGCAAGCTGTAATTTCTGCGAACCTTCTTAAACCCTGCAGTATATTTTATTAGATAAGAACTAGTGCATAACTAGTTTCCTTAAGGATACAAACTATTTTGGCTTAAACCTCAAGAAATCAAAAAGAAGTAGTCTACCTGGTCACACTACGGACTAGAGATGGACGCGGGATAGCAGGACCCGCGGGACCCACGATCCTGATTCAAAATTGGCCGGGATGGGCGGTATCGGGAAGATCGGTAAAAATATGGCGGGCGGGACGGGACCAAAATCCTTTCCCGACACTCCCGATAAAACCGCAACCCCCGCAAATTCACAAAATCTCGGGATGGGCGGGCTCGGGACTTTAAAATCGAATTTCGGGATGGGCGGGATTAAATATTTAGTCCCGTGCCCATCTCTACTACGGACGTGAAACTTCTTTCGAATCATTTCTCGTTCTTTACATCCTGAAAAAATGTTGATCAATATTAGTTTTATAGTCATTGTCTTCATAAATCTTCATCTTAATATTCGCCTTCATCTCATATTCTTGTTCGTTGTAGTCGTCGAGTTCGTGTTCGTATTTGCATTCGTATTCGTGGTGGTGTTCCTAGTCCTCTTCCTTGTTGTATTCGTTTTTGTGTTCGTATCCGGATTCGTATTCCTCTTCTTCGTCGTATTCTCTTCATATTTACTGCCCTGGTCGTCTTACTATTCGTATTCTCCTCCCTCTTCGTAATCGTCTTTGTGTTTGTTATCGTTTTCATCTTATTCGAGTTCATGCTCGTATTCGTGCTCGTCTTCATTTCGGTCTTCGTATTCGCCTTACACTTTGTCTTCGCATTCCCCGTCTTTGTCGTTTTATTAGCCATCGTATTGGTCGTTCTCAACATCTCTAGTTAACACAAACTGGCTTACAGAACTTTTGAAATACTTATTTTCAGGTCAAGAGGGTGTAAATTCAAATTATATTTTATTACTATTTTTTTAATTTTGTATATAACTTTTATTTAACTTATGCATTGGAAATGACGTCATATGCTTCTATTTCCAAAACAAAATCGAAATAAGACCATATCGTAACCTGTGTGGAAAGTCTACCTATCTCGGCAGCCAGTTCGAAAACGCCCTATCGCAGAAAAGAGTTTAAGTTATTTCCTTATGCCGAAAGTATTTTTATAAGGCAAAATTTAACGTAAGTATTGCGAAAAATCGAAATTGTATATACATTTTTTGTAAATGGTGTAAACCTAAAATCTGTTTTAGAAATGGTCATAGTGAATACGTCGTAAAAAAGGAATTAAAATTATCTTTGAATTGCCAGCAATACTTTTCTAATCGGTCAAGTAGTTTCCAAGATACATATTATACATTATAAAAAATATAAAGTTAAAGTTTAATCGCTTATATGTTCTTTGCTTTTTATTTGCGCCAAATAATTCGGCGTGGTTGAAATCAGCGTAAAAAGTTCTATCGATCTGTATTTTTTTGTTTTTTATAACGATGCAAACGGCCCTAAGTAGTTAAATTTGGCGGGATATAAGTGCAGAATACACGCCATTGGCAGAAAATGCGACTTGTTTCCATATCGCAGCCACGTCTGTATTGCGAATATTTTGTCGGTAAAGCAGATTTAAAATTTTCAATTTGACAGTTTTCAATATGTCTACTAGGGCTGCCATTTATAATTTTTTCCTTACTATTTATACAATGCATTAAAAAGTTACCAAAATTTTCCCAAAGCTTACCAAAAATTTTAAAAACAAAGAAAGCTTAATTTTTTACTAACTGACTAAAAATTGCTTAAATCAACTTACTTGTCCATAATGTCTATAAACGCTCCCCTAAAAACGCACGCACAGGATAGACTTTCCACGAAAATAAACGTTTTTCTTGAGAAAATTAAAATATCCGTATTGACAGGTGGTACGAATAAATTATTTGAAATGCTCATTCACAACAATTCCGATTTAAATTGAAGAGTAATGGCAAATAATAGCAGATGTAATTTCATTTCTAAAAATATTTGAAAATGTTCAGCAGAAGTTAAAAAAACTAACAAAAAGTTACTCAAATTTGTGAAGATAAAAGTTACAAGTTTTGGTAGAATTCTACGAAAACGGCAGCCCTGATGTCTACCTTATCGACATTAGAAACGTCAACGATTTTCGTTTTGACACGTAGAGTTCGGCTGACAATTCGTGTGACACGAATACCGATTGGTAGCACTGCTCCGAAAGCAAAACGAATTATCCGCTTAATTTGTGTCAAACTTTTCGCAGCGAACGAAGCTACACGGTACGTCTTGTATGTTTTATTACTGAATTCCCAAATCCAATTGGAAATTTAGTATACAAATTATTAAGTTCGACAGTAGACATAACATAAAAAATGTGCATTGGAATTATAATTATATTTTAAACACATTCGGTTCAGAAAATGTCCAAACATTGGTGACATTTGCCACGTCAAGTTCGTGCAGCAAAAATACAAGTGAAAGGAGAAAGCATAAAAACGGATACAAAATGTATTTAGCTTTCAATATTCAGGCGAAAACTATATTATTTATGTGGAAGCCCCAACGCCGTTAATTGCACTCCATTGTTTGCGCTCCAAAATATTACGATTTTAGTTTACAACATCGTTATAGTTTAGTATATGTAATTAATTTTCTTTACTATTGCAGCATCCATCACCCGCCTAACAAATCTATAAGCTACTCGAAACCATGGATAAAGTTGTTAAATTCTGTGAACCTGGCCGTGCCTTCGCCAAGGACTCCATCCGTTTGGTTAAACGTTGCACGAAACCTGACCGCAAGGAGTTCCAGAAAATCGCCATTGCTACAGCTATTGGATTCTGTATTATGGGCTTCATAGGTTTCTTTGTGAAACTTATCCACATTCCCATCAACAATATCATTGTGGGCTCATAATATGTCCAGCGGCTGCATCAGCTATAATTATTCATACATACATGAATTCATACTTACCTAACGATAGATACTTTACAATACCCTCAATATTTGTTTGTATAAAAACAGCATTGGGTTTAATTTTTGTATTCATTTAGAAATAAGATATTAAATATTTGCATGTAGAGAGATTATAAACGATTCATATCTTGTATTTCTACCCTGATCACAACAGAATTTGTAATTTCAAACTTGCGGCTTATCCCGATAGGTTGGATCTACGTAGGATTTTTGTTTAATAAAAAATGGACAAAATCAATTAAATTTTTGTTTTTAAAAATGGACAAAATCAATTAAGGTTTTTGTTTTTAAAAATAGTGGCGTATTTATAAAAAACATTACCCGAGTGTAGTGAAATATGTAGCTAATTTTTTTAATTCCTATTAGATAATTTCAGGAGCTAAAAGGCCTTGAGAGTCAATAGGATTTCGACTCAGCATTGCTTTCCCCTTTCTGTATGAAGTGACACAAACTGAGGCCTTATACTTACGCTAAACATATAAGAACTTTGTAGGACTTATTTCAAAAAGCCGTTTATAGGAGTGCTTATAAACCTGGGCTCGAATCGTAACACAGGTTATCGTAGTACTAGTCACGTAAAAACACATTTTTCGGATTATGACATACGCGAACGTACTCATTGTCCCATTCAGCTTATACTGCCTGACGTATCACAAATTTTCTTTCGTATCGTTTTCGATCCGTGAACGATTGTTACGATTCGAATAAAAATGTTTTTTTTTTTTGCAACTTAAAATGCATATTGAAATTAATTTGTGATTCGCGTGAATTGTAAACTGAAAACACGCATGGCATGCAGGGAAGCAGCTATTTCTGTCCTTGGTTAGCCTTTTATATATATATTCACGTCGGAAGGCATACAAAAATTATCTACTGGGACGCCTTTTGCCCTGCATTGCTGACTCTGAACTTGTATAGCACTGAATATACCCTTTTGATTTGACATCGCACAAAGCTCAATGCTGCGAGATTGTCAAAATTGCTGAAAATTTTACACGCTTCATCTACGGAAATTTGTTAAGTGGCGTAAAAATGCAATTTTAGTGAAAATTACTTACTGAAGAATCTACAAAACGGTTAAAAAACTTTCAACAAACTTCAAGTTTGATAAGGATTTGCTTAACGGGCATTAATTACTTAACGACTTCACAGTACAAGTTTTATAATCTGGCCGGCTCAAGGGCAGGGAGCCAGACTGCCAACAAAATCGAAAAGTATCAACGCATTGTGTGTACATGTACTTTTTTGCACCTAATAGGGTTTGAGTTTTCGTAATGGAAGAAGAACTAATTTTACAACAGCCGGCAGATCGGCGTTTGGGTACTGGAAATACATTACCACCTGGACCGCCAGGAGCAGATAGCGATGGAGGTGCTGATTATGGTGAGTAGTTATCAATGCAAATTACATAGGAAATAGTGAACCGTCGCACATGTAGGTATATAAGCATAGTTTACAACAGAAAATTCTATTATAGATACAAAAAAATCTAAAACGGAAAATGATGCAAATAGAACTTCCGCAAGCCGTTCTAGTCGTCGCCGTTCACCCTCTGGCAGTCCGCCACGTACGAGGCGCAAGTCTCCTTCTCGCGGTCGACGGTCACCCTCCCCACTAGATGTCGCCCGCCGCCGACGTCGCTCGCCTTCCCCACCCCCCAGACGTAATCGCTTTCGTGACTATTCGCCAGACCGCCGTCGTTTCGATGCAGGTGGAGGACGTAATATTCGACGTTCCCCTGATAGACGTCGTGGTAGCGGAGGACGGGGTTTCCGCTATCGTGGCCGTAGTGGTAGCCGTTCTCGTAGTCGTAGTGTATCACCACGTCGAGGTGGTGGTAACCGATGGTCCCCTAAAAAGAAACCAAATTCACCGCTGCCGATGAACGCGCCACCACCACCACAAGTATCGCAGCCGCCGCCGCAAACTCAGTTTGGCGCTATGCCACCGCAATTATATCAGAGTGATACATATGCACAACCTGCATATAACCAATATTCCGTGCCGCCACCACAGGCAGCAAGCAGCTTTGCGCCACAGCCCACTGCAGACGCTTATGGCATACAGGCTCCGGCACCACCTGTTTTCAATGCTGCCTATCCGCCGCCACCAGTTTGGGGAGCTAATGGTAAGTTATGATAAAAAATTTTTATTCCAAGTCAAAGTTTTTCTAAAATGCATTTTTTATATTTTTCTTCAGACGCCTATACACAACAGCCTTGGATACCAACGCCAGACCCAAATCAGCTACAGCAAATCACACAACAGCCTCCCCCAGCGGTAGCACCAACGTCCATACCACCACCACAAATTGTACCGCCGCAAGCTGTAATTGAACCGGCACCAGTTGTTATTGAATCAAGTGCAAAACATGATGGTATGCGTTCGATAAGTTATTCCATTTTAAAGTACTAAATTTTATACCATTTCGTGTTGTGTATTCTCTCAAAATCCCGAAACCAAAAAATGCACGATTTGACGTCAATTTATTCATTTCACAAAAAATCGTATGACACACTCGGCTAGTAACATTAGGTATAGCACATATACATCATCTCGTTCAAACAAAATTCAGAAACATGATGTACATCATTTTGTTGAAGCACATTATAACTTACACTAAACCCCATAGGCTAGCCGTGCTGTAAGCATATAGAAAAAATATAAATTAATAAGTATATGGTCAAATTCAACGACGTATCGGCGCACAACCTAAAACTCGACCAGTACGTGCCGCATGTTGTCCAACACGCTCTGGTGGAACACACCAACCTGGGAGTAAGGAGCGGATCAACGATCCAAACGACATACCAATTAATGTGTGCGTTGTAACTTCTCAACCGATCAATGCTTTGCATTGTACAAAGCGTAAATAAAACGAAAATGCAACAGAAAAGGCATTTAGTTGAAATATATATTTAAATATTTTTCGTTGAACTAAACGAATAATGCGACTTAAATTTTATTTTCATATGCTTATAGCAGCTGTTGCACAAGAAGCAGAAAATCAACGAGACGAATTGAAGCGTCAGCGCAGCAGCTATCTCAAGAAGACATCATTGCTCCGTAAAGAACTAAAAATGTTGAAGGAACAAAGAAAGGATTTACATGGCGGCAATGGTGCCCCACCATCGCCCACCACAAAGGGCTTTATCGACGAAAATGAAAAACTACAGGTATGTCGTACTATGTCAAATGTATTTATGCGCCAGTATTTTTTTTTTTAAATATAATTTTGGTGTTAAATGCTGTGTAACAAATGCTGGAACGAATAGCAGCAAATGTCGGGTCAAGCAGAAAATTTGTTGAGAGGTTTTCTACTAGAGTGATGTTGGTAACATTGGGGTTTATTGGTTAGCAGCAGTAAAACTTGTATACGAATAATCTCAAGTCGTTGGTGTTAAAAATTTGGTTGAAGAAATTTAAAAACAGGAAAGTATATTCTATTTATGAACAGAATTGTGTTTTCATTATCCGCTCTCCATCGTATATGGGCGAATAAGTCAATTTAAAAAAAACATATTTATGTATATGTAAGCGAGGAGGTTCATTCAAAGGAAACCACAAGCACGTCGCGTTAGACAATATCTCAACGTGCCGTATCATACCATATCATACCATTATATAAGAAAACCGGAGAGAGATAATTATGCAAAAAAAAAATGCAAATGTGTAATGCTAGACTTGGCCGAGTTGTGCTGCGTGAATTGTTGTCACACAGAGGGGATGTAAAAGCTTTTTTCAATGACAGAAATACACTCGGGTTTTTGCCATTGCCTGCCGAGGATTTATCTTTTATGTTGCTCCGACCAGAGATTGAACCCTGGACCTACTGATGATACGCACCTCTAACCACTCGATCACCGCGGCCGATTCCAATGCAATCGCAAGGGAATTCCTTCATTCATTCATTAACTACTCGTGCAGTTAACCTAACACCTGTTCTTCGATTATCATTAGCTTGGATTTCGAAAGACGCCTAGCGCCACCTCCGTGCTGAACACTGTTTCAGCGCCAACAGCGGACGGTCTTAATCGAAAACGTCGTTGAACCCGCATCATATTGGAGAGACTCAATTTGTCAGAGGACTTTGACACGGTAAACCATGCTGAAAGAGGTTGAATGAGTTCACAAAGTGTATGAAATGCGTTGAAAGACCTGCTAGTTGCATTAAACTTTTAATTTTCTTACATGTGCAAATCTCGCCACTCCACAATGCAGCCAAGCAAGAATCGCAATAAAATTATCAAATTCATGCACTGCTTACTCGCCATTATGACTTAATTAAGCACCCTCTTCAGCGGAGCACTTCTTCATATAAGTATATCGTCGTTTAAAGTATAAAACCGCGTATCGTGCTTCTGCAAAATCTCGTAACTGATATCAAGCCTTATACATTCATACCAAAATATAGACAGTTAGATATAAAAGGTAGAGATAATTAGTGATAAAAGGGAGAGGCGTTTTAAAATAAGACAGGCTTTACCATCTCCTTTCAAATTTTGGCAACCTCACATAAGAGGTTTTGCATTATCTTGATGCGCGGTTTTGTACTTTAAACGACGGCGATATATATGTATGTGCCTCCATGTACTGTTTAAGAAACCCTCTAAACAAAGCACAGTACAATGCACATGCATCACTTAAATTTATGGAAAAATAGTTTTCCATTAGAATCAGAACAGTTAAGAGGCAGTATTTAGTTGGAAATCTGTTTTACAACAAATCAATTCTAGCTGGACTATATCGACGCCAAAGTTCATATTTGTTCCCAGCATTTTTCGTACACAGCATTTTAAAATATGAATAACTGCAATTAAATTATTTACCGTTAGAGTATAAGCAACGTATTTAAGTCGATTATGTGAGTAAATGATAAATTTTTCACAGCTTATGTACCCGTTGATTTGTATATGCATACTTAGGTCTGTATGCAAGCGTAGTTGTGCAGCAATTGCTTTCGTACAATTTAGATGTGTGCAAGGTCTTCACGCATTTTGCGTTCAACATTGGTTAAAAAGCGCATATTTGCAGGATAAGCGGGAAAATGGATCATGAAGTTAGTGTTAAAAACTTGCTGCGTGCACACAAATTTTTCACCTACCATATTTTTTATATGTATATGTAAAGGTTATGTTTTGCGAAATATCTGATATCTTATCATTGAAATTGTATACGTATATACGTACGAGAAATGTAATTTTGGGTATTTTTGTATTTAAATCTGGTATTATATATATGAAATTTTATTGTAAATATGTCAACAAAACTTGTAAAAAAAAATCGACCAGACCAATGCATAATGAGAACGACGGATGAGCAATAAACCGACAGATGACCCGTGATGTTGGATGGACCACGACCTGCTCATCTCCAATTTTCGATGCCTATCGCCTGTCATCATGCGAAGATTTTTCAACTATATACCATAATTAAAAAATTGCGTTGCGAACAATGAGAGAAATGAATTATTGAATTGAAGCATTTGAAAATTGAATCAGTTTTTTGCTAATTTTCCTTTTTTTCTCTCCCCCCTTTTAGAGTCAAATACAAAAGAAACTAAACACCATCGAAAATGTCATCGATATGCTTACTGGTATTATTGGAGAGGAGAACTTAGACCGTGACGAGGAATGCTACGACAGTGATAAGAGCAATAAGGACGATTTAAAAAAGAAAGAACAACAACAACAACTCTTGCAACAACAGCAACATATCGGTGGTAATAGTGAACGCAGTCGCAAAAAGAAGCGTAAAAATTCAACTTCTTCATCTGGCAGCTCATCGGGTAGCTCAAGCAGCAGTTCGAGCTCCTCTTCGAGCTCGTCCAGTTCGGAGAACGAAGAAGATGACGACGATAGTTCACCAGAACGTTTAAAGAATAAAGCAATTGAATCAATGAAATCTAAAGCGAAGGAGAATTTGAAGCGCGAGGCTGCGAAAATAAAAGACGAAAAAATGTGAGTACATATGAAAAATAACACAGCTCCATAAAAATAAATGAAAAATCAAACTAATGAGGCTAGTAAATGCTCATAAATTTGACGTCACTGGATCAGAAACTGAAGTCAAAATTAAATGTGGGCTACATTTTTATTTTTCAACACTAAATATTAGGGGTATTATTTAAGGATTGCAAAACAATTGCACAGTGTACGGATTACACGTACCGTGCAAGGATTTTGCAAGACTTAGAGAATAACCCAATCTTTTCTAAATATGCCAAAGTAAAATATGGTTTGAGGTTAGAAATAAATACAAAATTTTTAAATTAAAATTCCCACAAGTTGATTACAACTGCAACAAAATTCGCCTTTTATGCAATATGTATGTAAAATAAAACGCTTTAATTTCAGGCTCGATGAGAAGAAACGTTTCAATTATGTATTTTATGATCCGGAAATGCATTGGTGCCAAACATGCGATGTATTTCCCAAAACCGCAAAAGATTACTTAAATCATTTACACTCCAAAGAGCATATGGATCGTGAAAGTATAGAAACGCCATGGCACATAGATATGCTAACTGATGTGAGTATTAAAATTATTAAATTTTGTTTAATGTTATAACGAGAATCTGAAAAATGACGGCATTTAATGCGCTTTCAATTTGAGACTTCGACATACGATCTCAGGCCAAACAAGTAATTATTCAATCGCAAATACTATGTTTCGGGACCGGAGTTTTTTATATTTGTTAGTAATGCATGTTTTTTAATATTATTTTAGCTAATCAAAATGTATTTCGCCTTCTTTCTTAATAGCAATTTCCAACCTATGAGAATGCACCAACAAAACGTACACCGATACGTGGTCTCACGTTCTTCATACCAGCTTCAGCTTGGTTTTGTAAATTATGCAACCATTGGATGGGTGATTTGCATTGCGCCTCAACCCATTTAAAATCACAGTTACATGCCGGCAAATACAATGTAAGTAATTGAAATTAATTAATTAAATATGTAAATGTTTTAATATTTGCAAGTATCTAGGATTTTCTAAGCTTATCTATAATCGAATAAATGAAAACTTTCACTACTACGACACTAATTTTTATTTTGCAAATTATACTTTGTCATCTCCTTCACTTTTTTTCTTTCAGACCTTTTTAGAAAAAAATCCCCACTATGAAGTAAATTGGTTGGCCGATCGTCAACGTGTTTTGAATGAACGTAAAACTTTGCCGCTACCACCGCAGATCACATCCGTTTCAACTACAGCTTCTGAGAATGTTTCTAGTAAAAAATCGAAAAAAGAGGACAAAGCCAAGAAGCGTAAGAAGAAGAGGTGAGTCATTCAGTTGTAAGAAGCTTCATCGCGGCTGAAATCGAGCTTTCAGGCAGGTTCTGCAATCCACTTCCGAGTGAATTTCAATCCCTGCCAATTTGAATTCAAGGCGAGTTTGATTGAAATTTACTCGGAAGTAAATTGCAGAACCTGCCTGATTGTTTGAATCAAAAATTTCAAATTAAGAAAAAACAGACTTCTACCATTTTTTCAAATTATTGTTGCTTTTCCACAATAAGTTTTTCATTGAAAAACGGCCTCAAGCTCAATAAATATTGTTGAATATAATTTATAGAAATTTTATTTGAATTTTGACCCAAAACAAAAAGTACTTAAAAATTTTCTTTGGGTGGCGACTCTTGATTTTGTTTGTGTGTATTTAAAACATTCTCAAATATGTCTCTTTGATGCTCATATAAATCTACTTCTAATATTCTGCTTGTTACCGAACATTTTGACACTGGAAAATTTTGTTACCAAATAATAACACCACTTCTTGTAACCGCAATTCTAAGCACCTTGGTAACAATTTAATCTATTCAACTATAATGTTTTGTATAAATTCTGGTGTTGCATACTTCACGGGGCAATATTTTGTTACTTGCATATGAGATGGTAACAAAATTTACCAGTGCGAAGAATGCGAAAAAATACCAGGAACTTTATTTACCGGTAATAAAATACCAGCGCAGAATAGGCCTGTATATGTAGTATATAAAAATATTCATACATTTCTTTTCAAATTAGGTGGCAACTTCATATAAAATTATATCTCAAACGCTATTTCTAGAATAACCGTGGTAAAATTTGCCTAATAAATAAAATTAATTAATTTGTTTTTTTTTTTGGTGGCTGATCGAATTAAAAATTTTGACACTAAAGTTTTTTAGTTTGATACCTAACAAAATATTTCACTGCCAAAGCATATTTATTTAATTATGCTTGTATAAATAAGTGGCAACACTGTTCAGACAACTTTGATGTGACATTTTCTCTAGGTGGTAACACTTCCTAAAATATCTTGCATTAAATCTCTCTTTCGCCTCTTTTAGTTGACTTCATGTTAAACTTTTCTTCAAACTCCTTTTAATGGAGAAGTTTAGAGTTCTATTCAGGTGGCAACTCCATTAAAAAACTCTGAGGCTGAAATGTCTGTGGTTAGTCACGCTTTGTAAAATTTATTTAATTGTAATTGTATAGAGTGGTGGATACCCCATTCGAAAATATAAATTTTTTTCCCCCAAAATAAAAGCTCAACATTTTCATGCTTGCAATTTTTTAAATGTTTCCTTAAACATTACATTATCTCCCGCCATTTCGATTCCAGTTCGGACAAGAAGGACAAGAAGAAAAAACGTAAGCGCTCAAAGAAAAACAAGAAGAATGCTACCACCACATCGACTTCTAGCGACTCTTCTTCTTCGGACAGTGAAAAGACCAGCAAGTCTAAAGCCAAGTCACCACCGATTATCATACAAAGCTTAGATAATCCCAATCCTGCGGTCTCGATACGTGTGGCAATGCGCAAACAAGATTTACCGAAAGCTGACGAAGATACACCACCACCAGCGCCACGCATGCGTGCCGATGCTATACCCCATCCAGTACCAGCACCCAATCTCAATTTGATTCCCAATGCTAGCGGTTCAATGACAAATACTGCAGCGGCTTCTGCCTCGTTGTTGGGCAACCAGGGTCGTTTGGGCAAGTGGACTGAGGCGCAAGATAGTAGTGCGAAGGCAGCAGCAGCCACTGCACATAGCACATCTGCCGCGACGGATAGCAAAAATGATGATGTCATCTTGCAGCAATGGAACACTGTGCAGCCGGTCATAAGCGAGAGTGAAAAGAAATTGCTGGAGCAATTGAAGGGAAAATTAAAGAATAAGCCACGCGACGAGTCGACCACACCGGCTGGTGCTTCTATACGCAACAACGACCCCACAGCGGATCGCCGTGTACGCGACCGCGATCGTGAGCGTGAACGTGATCGCAGTGACCGAGATCGTGGCGAACGTGATCGTAATGATCGCGATCGCAGACGACGCTCACGTAGTCCCCTCTTTGGTGGCGGGCGTGGCGGCATTGGGCGCGGACGTCTGCGGCGCACACGTAGTCGCACACGCAGTCGCAGTCGCGGCCGCGTTGGTTCGCCGTTGGGACGTAGAAGGCGCACACGTTCGCGTTCGCGTGGAAGAAGGTAAGTTTGTGATGTACTGCAAGCATCCACTTGTTTCTTATTAAAAATTTCTTTGTATTCCATCGCTTTAGGAGCCGCTCATTTGATCGCCGGCGCCGCTACAGCCGTTCACGCTCTCGTTCTCGCACACGTTCTGGCAGTCGCAACCGCATTGAAAAGGCGGTTGTGCGCCATCCCGAATTCAGACCGCGCGTGCCCGAGAAGGATAAGGATCGAGAAAAGCGCTCCACCACAGAGTCAAAAGATAAAAAGAATGCGGATAAGAAATCCAAAACAAGCGCTGCAAATGCGGCTGCAGCGGCGGCAAGTGGCAAGAAGTTACCGTTCATTGGTAAAATGCCAGTTTTCAAGAAGCAAACCACCGGCCAGGCAGACGGCAACGGTAGTGGTGCTGAGAATACTATGGCCTACGCAAGCGAGAGTGGTCCTACTGGCTTCGCGCACCAACGTCCACTTGCGCCCACAGCCGCACAAATCCAAATGGCTATGATGGAGGACGCATACGGTAATGCACCACCATTCCATCCCGATGCTACCATGATGATGGACTATGATGAGTTGATGCCGGATCCGATACAGTTTGTAAATTTGATGGGTCAGGCACCGCCGCCGCCGCCACCACCGAGCGGAGATGACGTGCCTGCATCGGGAGATGTAGCTGGTGCGGCTGACGAAGCTGAAGATATATTGCCGCCGGGTATCGATGAGGCAGAAAATGATGATTGTGTCACGCGGCCCATTTCTGACGGAGTTATGCCACGTAAAGGGCCGTTGCCCAAAGATCTCGAAGAGGCGCTCGATATAATATTCCCAGGCGAAAAGAAGCCGGAGGACGAGGATGAAGAAGGCGCAAAGAAAGCTAAATCTTCAGGTAAGTGAATTAATTATAAGATAATCTTATTCCAAACTACATGTTCTTATATAAATCAAATCATTTCGCTTCTCTTTTGCAGGTGAAACGCAAATAATCGTTGACGAGCCCGTAATGCAGCCAGAGGACCTGGCCAAGGAAGGCATACACATGGTTACCATCGAGGAAACTTCTTTGATGGGTATGGACGAGGCTTCACAAATGAGTATGAATGAACCGTTGGTATTTAATAAGCCCAAAAACTCTTTGCAAACTGAGACAACCACAGCAATTCCAAGCAAAGCAGCAAATATTCCACTAGCCGATAGCTCGTCACAAGATGCCGCTGATATTGATTTGAGTGCTATACAACCGCCTCCACCGCCACCACAAAAAGTTGCTGAAGTTGCCGGCAAATCTCTAGAAGTAAAGGCGGTTAACGGTGTTGACACCATAAATCCACTTGAGACACCAGTGAGCGATGCAAAGCTTTCTATTGAATCCGCAGAGCTAAGCGCGGCACCCGATGATATACCCATGCCTGATGCAGCACCGGCGACGAAGCCAACAGCTGACGATATTGCCAACATCGTGTACGACTTAGATGATATTCCGCAGCCGCCGCCATCACCCACGGAGAGTGAGAAGAATCGCAGACAGGAGGAGCTGAACGATTTGGCAATGCTGGGCATTGACGCAGACGATATGGCCGCACAGTGCATTTGAAAGCAATTGCAAAATTAATAATAATAGTTTTATTCTTTATTAAAACAATTCAAAAAACATTTCATTCAATAGCAACACAAATTTTGAGCTTCTTAGTTTGGATACAGTCTAGATTGTAATAATGAAAATGTGGGAAAGCGAGAGCAAGATGAAAATATTTGAATATGTTATATGCTATCGCTTAGAAGAATCTACAGCACAGATGTTAAGATATGCAAATAATAAGGAAAATTTCGGAAAATAAATTTACATAATACAACAATGTTATGGAAAGGGACACTATTTTTTAAATTTTTTTTATGTATTTGTGAAACTATTATCGGGACCCTCCAGGCAAAGTAGTTTTTCGCAAAAAAAATTGATTAAGGAATACCTACTAACCCGGACCAATAAACTAGAAATGGGGTTTTATGTATATATATGTATATATATATTTTTTTTTAAAATCACTGTATACCTGATCTTTTCAGAGTTGTAGAAATTCTGTGTGATTATTTCCTTTTCCAAGCCAGGTAAGGCGGCGAATTCCCCAACGGCAAAAACTATGGAAGTATACTTCTGCTCCCCAGCCCGATTTCTTCTTTATTGTGGCGCTACAACCACCTAAGCGATTTTGGCTGAGTCTAAAACAGCACACCAGTCGTTTCACTTCTGTGCCTACTGGCGACAGTTGGAAATACTAAGTGAAGTCAAGTCCTTCTCCACTTGCTCTTTCCAACACAGAGGAGGCCTTTCTTTTCCTTTGTTACCAGCATTTCGACCCGCGTTAAATACTTTCTGAGCTGGACATGACCTAGCTGAGCAGATAGACGATTCGACATTCTGCACAATGAACGACGACGCACCCACCAGGATTAACAACAATAGTCAGCGCTGGTCTGATAAACAGCGTATCATGGCGACCTATGCTGACTTTGGCATCAGATCATCTGCCCATGGTCATCTCGATCGATAAACCAACCGACTTTGCTTCCGCGGAACACCGGTCCTATACCAACTTTTTTAAAGCTGATTGGAAAGGCTTCGCGGAATTTACTGAGAGCACCTTCGCTCTGCTCCCTACACCAACCGACGTCCACCTTGGTGAACGTAAGTTCCGCAGGGTTGTCACGGCTGTTTCAGCTCGCTTCGTACCGGCACGATGTATCACGGACCCTCGTCCAAACTTTCCTGCTGAAGCGGCTGCCCTAGCCGATGACAGTGACAACCTTCCTCAGGCCGATCCCGGAAATCCTCGTATCAGTGAACGTACATAAGCGGAAGAAGTGGTAAGAGCATCTGAAGACCTGTAATTTCACCTCTGGTGTGAGTAAGCTTTGGTCAACCGTGAGGTCACTGTCCAATCCGACGAAGCATGACGACAGAGTCAAAATTTCTTTCGGCGACCATGCTTCGTCGGATCCGGAGCGATACGCGAGCTGTTTTTGCCGGCAGTTCATATTGCATCCTCCGGCGGACAAAGCCAAGCGTCGAGTGACCAGAAGGCTGCACAAAATGACAACAACTTATGCCCCCCTTGCTTTCACTAGTGGTGAAGTTCAGGTGGCCATCGGGAAGGCGAAAGCCTCCAAACCCATGGGTGCCGACGGAATATGCATGCTGATGCTGAAAAATTTGGGTCCTGCGGGAGTAGCGTACCTAACGGAGGTTCTCAACATGTCAATGGCCACTCTCATCATCCCAGACATCTGGAAGGTGGGGAGAGTGGTCCCACTGCTTCAACCGGGGAAACCAGCCAACAAAGGAGATTCTTATCGGCCGATAACACTCCTTTCCACGGTAGCGAAGACACTACAGGCCTTGCTTCTCCCGTATTTCATGAACCACCTGACTCCAGCGAAGCATCAGCATGCTTTCCGTAAATTGCACAGTACAACAACAGCACTTAACGCCATAAACACTCAGATAACGCGTGGTCTTAACCGCAAACGTCCCTATGAGAGATCTATTCTAGTAGCGTTGCACCTATCAAAGGCGTTTGACACCGTCAGCCACTACACGCTACTAGAAGATATAGAGCCTCTCTCTCCCACAGAGGCTCAAACGCTGGTCGGCGAATTATCTGAGTGGTCGACACTCGTCGGTAATGTTTAGAGACAAATCGAGCAAACTTAGAAAAATAAAACAGACTGGTGTCCTTTCCCCGCTATTGTTTAACTTTTACATTTTAAAGCTCCCGTAACCACCAGAGGGAGTCTCGATTGTCTCCTACGCCGACAATAGCTCGATCACGGCGACTGGGAATGGAATTGACCTCTGGACCCATCAGCTTATCGACAGGACCTGAACGGCATTCACAGGGAGTCAGTCTCGAGTTATGTAGACTCCAGACCTGTGAATGCCGTTCTAGGCACACAACCACCGGACATTGACGAGACGGAGCTTCATCTCCCTCGGGAGACAAGGACCACAATAGCCCAACTTCGCTCTGGCTACTGCAGCAGGTTAAACTCATACCTGAGCAGACTACACGCGGATGTGCCAAATGAGTGTCCGGCATGTGGAGAGACCCCTCACCCCGATAACCCTAACGCCTTTGTTCCTGTGGACGAGGCTGCACGCTTCTTAGGGCTGCCGTTAGTGGAACTTGACGACAACGACTGAGATATCAACCGATCTGGGCGGGGTTGTTGTAGCCACTGCAACAGCAACAACAACAACCTAGCCAGCGTAGCTGCACAATGTCTAAATCATTGTAAAGCCCATACAGCCCATCAACGCCAACTTATTTGCGTTGAAATCGACAAATAGATGATGTGTGTGATTTTCGCGAGTCTTTCCATAGATTTGGTGTATTTGAATATAATTTAAGTACGTTTTGGACAGCAGTCACTATGTCGTCATGGTTGTTCTTAAAGAAGTTCGTCCTCGTCTTGAAACCTTCCGTAAGTCGCCTAACTCTCTGATAAAATTTTAGGACGGTTTTCCTGTCGCCCACCATTTCAAGCTTTTCGACCTCACGTATTACGGCCTCTCTTATTGCGGCAAATATATACGTCTCGCTTCAATCTTCAGTTCTCTATAGCTGTCCCACATGGCTCGCTTTGCGCCCGATCGCAGCGGGGTCCTGTAGGCGGCATTTTTATTTGCAAAATTTGCAAATTTTCATCTTTTAATCAGATTTTTTAGAATTGTTCGAGTATGCAGTTTTGCAGCCCTTTAAATTCTAGTAAAAACAAATGCAGGTTCGGAGTTAGTCAAAAATCGCATTGAAGTTTGAGATTTTTTTTGTAGAAGGTGTTTTGCATTTTTTCCATATAAAGTATTTTCGAAAAAAATTCTTTGTATAGAAGAGACTGCGTGAAAAAAAAATTGCTAAAATTCAGCGTTAATTCCTAGCTACTTAAAACTTGGACTTTGTTATAATAAAATTTATTGGGCTACAAATTAGCATACTCAAAAAAAAAAATATGAAAAATCTGATTAAAATGTGATAAAAAGAACGAGCCATATTTCTGTGCCAATACTTTGTTCCGGCAATCCAAGTTTGTTTGTAAAAATCATATATGTAATACTTCTATATTGGCAGTAAGCTAACTTCTCAATGTGTAAGCATTCCGAATCAGAGCGAGACAGTCTAGTACTGTTTTTGTCAATGTATTGTGTACTTGAGTGCCGTTTTTGTATATGTGTTGTGTACATGTTTATTTATAAACGTATGTGTTCCTTTTCTTTCGTACGTGTTTATTGATATATCTGTACTGTAGTGTTTTCGGACGGTACTAGCTCTTACTGCCAATATAGGAGTATTACATATATGGTAAAAATGCTATTTTAAAGATTTCGCCCTTTGATTTCTATTAAAATTAAAACAAATCACCGGTTCCTATTTCAAATTTTATTTAATTGTATGTACATATTTATTGATTTAGAATATGTATTATCTACATATTTTACACAAAATTTTCACAGATTCAATATTGATACCATCTAACTATGTATATACTATTTAATATTTAAATGAATATGATTATTATATTTACATATGCAAAATGTATGTATGTAAATATGTACATATGTATGTATGTAGGTTATGACTCCGCCAAGTGTGTGTGTACTGTATTTGCTTAACACTGGTAACATAACTTTCGGTAAGACCAGATGATCCTACTTTCTAACAAAATACTTTTTTCCCCAATCAAAGCAAACTTAATAAATAGTACTTAATAATAACTTACGGTGCTTTATAAAATTAGAATTTCTTAAATTAATTGCAAAAGTTTTGTGTGTATGTAATTATGTACATGTGAAATGCAATTAAACCAAAACTACATAAGTACACATGTGCTTACTTTATAAAATCTCGTAAGTGGTCATAAGTATGTATGCATTTAAAATTAAAAAATACGACGTCATTGATATCAACCGAAATTGTCTTCATCAAATCAAAACTCCTAAAAATACCTAAAATATTACGTTCGTCACCACAAAACCACTGGATTGATTAATAGTATTTGCAAAAGCTAGCAATATTTATTTTATGGGTGCCGCTTACTTTCTACTGGTTGTTCGCATTCGTGTACGCACAAGCGGTGCCTGCGCACAGTGACGCAAGACAGGGCAAAAATTGTGTATGTGTTGGCAAAATGTATTTAAGCGCATATTTATTTAAGGGCTAGTACCTGATTAATTTTTTGTTCTGTGAAATTTGTGCCGATGAGGGGGGAGCTTGAGAGAGGCTCGATTTTGTTTCAAACACATATATTGAGTGGTAATTATTGGCGCAAAAAAAAATTAAAAACAATCAGCTCCATAATTTCATGTGAATAAATTGTTCACAAGAATTTACAAGCAAAACAAAAAAAATTGTTTTATTTTACTTTATAATTTTAAGGAGTATTTGTTCAAAGGCCAATTGTTCTAATCAGATAATATGCTTCTTGACTTTTTAAGTATTTATTAAATAAAGTAGGTGTCCATCCACATCTTTACGCTTGTCGGTTTATCTGATTATGTGTTTTTTGTTTTCATTCACCCAACCAGCCAAATATCCATAAACCTGTTCTTAAATTGTAGTGATCATTTAACTAGATAGTCTAATAACCAGAAGTAATGAATATGCATAATGTAAAAAAGGTTACAGAATCTATTTTTTTTCCAATATTTTGTTACTTGATTTTGTTTAAAATAAATATTTTTATCCCCCATTTAAATTAAGTTAATACATGTCTTTTTTTATAAGAAAATAGTACAGGTATTTATATCATTCTGGTTATTAGGTAACCTGCTTAAAAAATATAATACTGCAATGTACATTATTATCGTAAATTTAATACAAAACACAACATGGCGGATGTGAGCATCCATATTATTTTGATATCAAAAATTTATATTTTCCAATTGTATTCACATTTATATGTTTATTAGATTATCTAGTTATCTGATTATTACTTCTCACAGTTTATGATTGTTGGAAACTGGATAAAAATATAACCAGTTAACCTGATAACCATGCAGAAATCTACATTATTTTGTACACATATTCAGGCCGATTCTGAACAAAAACTCCCCGGGAATTTTCTCTCTTTTCCCTTTCCTCCTTTCATGAATAAAAATTCCTTGAGGATTTTTTATACTAAATGGCGGAGTTGAGCTCTCAAAGAAGTGTCAAACAGCTTTTTCGAAGTTCGAATTTAATCCTCCCAAGTTTTCGGGGAAAATGCTACTCCTGGGAGTTAATTATTGCGGTATTTCTTTCTCGGAAGAAACAAATTCCCGGTGAACAAACTCCCCGGGAGTATTAGGAATTGGCCTGATTATCTTTCTTTCGCGGGTGTGTACTTGGTTATGAAGTTATCTGGTTATAACACCCATATTATTTTTTAGGGAATTGTTAAAACAAAATCTCTTCAATGAACGCGAATAAACTTTTTGCAAATAAAATATTAAATTCAAAAGTTAAAAATATTAATATTTTTTTAAATAAGGCATGTACAAATTTTCGACTTGTTTTTTACATTTTGCTTTTTTAGTTTCACATTCCTAACTCTTCTTAGTTTTAAATTAAAATTTTATATTTCTCCGGTTTAATTTTATCATTTGTTGCATCTTATTTTAATTAAGCTTTTTATTTTTTTACTCTGTTTTATTCAATTTTATGTTAATTCGTTTAATTTTTTGTTTTGTTTAACTTTATTATGTTTTATATTAATTTTTTTCTTGTTTATACTCACATATTTAATATTTTAGTTAATTTTTTACTTTATTTTATTTTCTTCTACTTTATTTTATTGAGGGGATAAATAGTATAATATAATAAAAATCATAATTTAAAAGCTAATTTTCCAATAAAATTTTCCTGATAAAACTTAACCTTTGTTTTTGTGATTTTTATTAGTTTTTTTTTTAGATCAAGAATAATCGTTATTTTTGTATTTTTATTTTATCAATCAATTTTTGATCATAAGTTTTCACATATATTTATTGTTTGTTTTATCCCCATTATCTTCAGATTTAATTTTTAGATGATAAAAGATTTAAATCGGTCATAAAAGAGTCTCCATTATGCCAGTTAATAATGGCCGGAAAAAAATAAAAACGATTAGATTTCAAAAAAAAAAGTGTCTGCATATTGAAGCAAACCTCTATATCCCTATGTTATTCGACGCGATGAATGCGAATCCGAGGTCTGTTAGCCCCTATCACGTCAGTTTCGTGGTCATTTGAAGGTCAAGTAGGGAAAATTTCATTGAATAAACCTATAAATTCATATATATGGGGTTTTAGACTCGCCGAACCCGAATCCGAGGTCCGTTAACCTCCATATTGTCAGGTTCGAGGTCATTGGGGGTCAAATAGGACAAACAATTTAATTTTTTTTTTGCTTTTGATGTCGCTACATCCGAATATGAGGGTATTTTGATTCTTTAAGGTTATCTAGAAGTCGTGCCAAGGTTATACCAAGGTCAAATTCAGAAGAATTGTATTGAACTTTCAGCTTTATTCAATTAATTTTTCCCTACCTGACCTTCAAATGACCTCGAACCTGACGTGATGGAGCTAACAGACCTCGGATTCGCATTCAGGGCGTCGAATAACATAGGGATATAGAGGTTTGCTTCAATATGCAGAATTTTTTTTTTTGTAACCCCGTGTTGTTATTGAAAAAAATCCAAACTTAATGGTTATGTTGATCCAAAAAATAAAAATACGATTGCTAAAAACAAAAACTTGCTATTTTACGGCTATTGTCCATCCATTTTATTTAAATTTTTTTCTTTTATTTCATTTTGTTTAATATTCTCTTTTTATTCTCTATTTTTTTAATATATTTTATTTTATTTTACTTGACTTTATTTAATTAAATTTTTATGTTATTATTTATTTTTTAATTTATAATTTATTTAATTTTACTGTTTTCATTTTTAATTCATTTTATTTTCCTTTGTTTAACTTTAATTTATTTAATTTTTCTTTACTTCATTTTAATTTTTTTATTACTTTATATTAATTTTTTAATGTGATCTCAGTTTTTTTTAATTATAGATATTTATATATATGATACCTGTGCAAAGAACTTTTCTCGAGTTAAATTCTTAGGAAAAGCATTTTCACTCTTTAAAGTGAAGTAAATATATCCAGTATCATTTTGAACCACGCGTGGTCCAAAGATTACATAGAAAATGCAATTTGTGTCTCCTTAAACATGAAAAGACTTCGAAAACCTTGAATCTCGAGAAGATTCTAACTGAATAAAATTTAAGGAAATCACCTAGGTAAGGAGGCTAAGGCCGAATCTTCGTGGAAGGCGATCGAAATCAATGCAATTTTCACCGAAAAAATATAGTAACGGTACTGTCGGTAATGTCGTATTACTTTTAATTGTTTAAAAATAGTTTTCGGATGCCGAGGTCGAATCAAATTTCATTCGAACGTGAATACGTTAATTTGACCACCGTACACAAAAAACTGGGGATCAAGTAACACATATCTTCAGTGTGGAACATTTCGTAACTATGCTCTCGTTTAGCCAAACGTTGTTCTCAACGTAACAAAAAAAAAAAACAACAAAAACAAAAAACAATTTTCACACGTTATTTGCATACACATCTATATACATATGTACATAGATTTGTGCACATATTTGAGTTTATTTTGTTTTAAGAATAATGGAAAGAAAAATTATACACCAATGTTGTTAGTTCATATTTATAAACACTGATTTTTACAATTTCATTTGCATACCGTTTAAGTTAAAAAATAATTTGAAGCTTTTTAAAAAATGCTTAAATATCATTTTGCCAACACATTAGCGCACATTGAGTCCCACTGTACGACGTGCCGTTAAACACTCATGCACCACTCACGACTCTTATGTACCTACTTAATGTTGGATACCTTCGTACTTAACGTTAAAATCTATATATTCACACTAGAAATAAATTTTTTAAATTTATAAGTTAAGTCTTCTTTTGATATCTTCCTTCATTTCTGTATGTTCATCCTCTTGTAGGGATTTTTCTGCCGTAGCTTCACTTTAAGCCTTCACGCTCAGCTGTTAAATAAAGTGTCTACGATTATTTGGATTACGTCTGTTATGCCCGCCGCCATCCATATTGAAATTTCGCGGGCCCCCACCGCCACCCATGTTCTGCTGTGGGAAGTTTAAGAAACCATTGAAGCCCATCTGCGGTCCGGCATCAAGCAGCCCTCGCCCACCGGCTTGAAAATTGGCACCGCCCGCACCGACATTGAAGGGATTGAAGTTACCGATCGGTGGCATGCCAAGCAAACTGGGTCCATCTAAACGCGGTGTCAAGTTCGTGGCGGCAGCGGTAATTGGCGTACGGATCCCTGCTAGACCACCGGCGAATAATGGTGGTGGAAAACGGAAATCGAATGGCGGGTTTGGGAAACCGAACCCCGAATTGGGTAGATCGAATTTTGGGTTGGGGAAATCCAGTTGCTGCATGAAATCGCCACGCCGTTCGGCATTCGCATTCATTTCGCTATCATCCGCTTTATCAGAATCGATTTTATTCACCTCGCCATTTTCATCAATGAAAATGCCAAGATTAATGAGTATATCATCGATTATTTTTTTATTACAATTGATGAAATTGAAATTCTTATCTGGCGAGGTGTCTTGGTGGAAACGCCGCAGCTCGGTGATTAGCCGAGCCAGTTCCTGATTGTATTGGATTTTCATATTGGAATTTAGATCGCGATACCATGCGGAATTCTGCATTTTTTCGCGCATTGTCTTACCTAAGCCTGCAATCCTCGAAACAACGCTGTCATTAGCAGCGCTACCGCTACTATTTGCCGCTGCAGCCGCACCACTTTTCTCTGCTTCGTTCGCTTTTGCAGCGGCGGCCGTTGCCGCTGAGGCCGCTGCGCAGCGGGGATCTAAACGTGGATCCGAACGTGATGTCGTAGGCTTGGTAATACTAGAACGACGCTCCTTCGCTGCTACACCGCTGCTGCTGGTGCTGCTACTGGGTGGTGTATAGTATTTCGGTGATTCTTCAGCCTCTGGCGAGGCGATGGTACTGCTCAGCTTGCGTCCCGAACGCTTCAGAGCAACCGTAGTGGCACGTGTCTCCGGCAATCCGAGTATGCGTCGTACGCGCGGATCTGCTGTTTGTGTAGTGGCACGCAAGCTACGACGCAGGTCTGCATAGTTCGCCGGTGGCAGAGAGAATTCGCGCACCTTATATGTCATTGGCAGATGAGAAGTGTAGGAAGCGTCAATTTCAGTGGCGGGCGTGTAATTTGTCACGGCCTCAAAGGGCAATATGCTGCCGCTACCGCTCAGACAACGCATATCCTTATCGGCTTTGGCACTCCTCTCTGATTGCTTGCGTTCATCCTCTTCCGCCTGTGCAACATTTAAGTCGTACATCGTTTTGCGCTCGTAAACAGGCTGTTTTTTAATGACAGGCGCGTCTTCATTGTCCGCAGAGTCTGAAGCTTCTGGTGTGGTGGATTGTGAGTGGGTTGGCGTGTGCGAACGTGAACGGGAGCGCGAACGAGAGCGTGAACGGGACCGAGAACGACCTCGTCGTCGGGCTGGGGGCGCATATAAACGATCATTGCGTTGATAACTATCGATACTGTTGGTAGTTGTCTTCTCTTCGGTCTTTTTGAAATCACTTGCATTTGTTCTAAAGGGATTGAAGGGATTTAAATGAAGCCCTAGTCTGGAAGCCAAATCACTAGTTTTCGGCGTTGGCTGAAAGAAAGAGAACGATTTCATGCGATATTTTTTAGATGTATTGTTTAAAATATAAGTTATTTTTGGTATTGAATTACATTTAACGGTAAAATATATTAACTGTAGAATTATTTGAATATAAATATTGTACATACCTCGTCGTTTACGCTCACGCTTTCAGTACTCGTGTTTGCCAGGCGCGGATTCTCTTCATGCTCCAAGTGACCAACATCTATTACTAGCTGTTCTTCATCACGTTCATCATCAACTGAAAGAAAAAAAGATTGACCTTAAGTAAAGGTGACTCGTGGAAAAACTAACGAGAGTGTGTTTAACACTTAAGAGAAAAAGTTCATTGTTTAACGAAACGCCTAAAAATTTTTTTCCAAATTTTTTCATGGCATATTTACATATATTCGTTTTTTTATACTTTTTATTGTTATATATAAATACATATTTATGTATGTATGTATGTATGTATGTAGTAATCGAACTCGTCGATACTTATGGATATGTATTTATTGGCATCGTTTATATATATTTTTTAATAGCGGTCGCCGTTCAGAGTCGAAGTAAAACTGTTTATATTGTTTGTGTTAGATAAAGAGCTATACTTTTATAAAAAATAATGACCCTTAAAAAATCAAAAGAAAAGTAGTAAAAACTAGTAAAAACGTTGATCTTTTGTCGTGGGGTGTACATATAAACCAGCTGCGGGAAAGTGCGGGTGTTTATGTAAAAAGGCTTTTAAGTCAAAAATCGTATTATTTTAAACAAAAAAACAATTGGTTTCACTTTGCGTTAAAAAACTGAAAAAGGTAGCTGTGAGAATTGAATCATAAAATAGTGCGAACCATGATACAAAAAAGAAGGTAGTTTCAATAAACAACTTTTTGATTAAAAAGGAG